ATGCAGACCAACTGATCAAACACAACACCCAAACATGAGTCCACAGAACTACAGCTGCCTGACTATGACAAAGGTGCAAAAATATACACTGGAGAAAAAATATCTTTAACAAAAGATGCCGAGAAAACTGGATGTCTGCACACAGAATAAACTTAACCCCAAATCTACCACCCACACAAAACTAACTCCAGATGATCACAGACCTCAACTGAGACTGCCGGAAGAAACATGGCAGGTGTGGGAAGGACTTCCTCAACAGGATCCATTTCCTGAGGAATTAAGACCAGCAACTGACAGGTGGGACCTCATAAAACCCGAAGGCCGTAGCACAGGAAATCATCAACCAAGTGAAAAGGAATCTGACGGAGTGGGGGAGACTCTGTCAACTACTCATCTGAAAGAGGATTAATAACCAGAATATAGAAAGAACTCAAAAAGTCAAGAAAACAAATGACTTAATTAAAAGAAATAGTTTTGAAATCTGAACAGAGTTCTCAAAAGGAATAAAAGTGGCTAAGAAATATCTCAAGAAGTGTGCATCATCCTTATCTACTAGAAAAATGCAAATAAAGACAACTTTGAGATTTTGTCTAACCCTAACCAGAACGGTACAGATTCACAAAGTAGCAAACGGCAAGGATGGGGAGGAGCAAAGGCAGGCAGGGAGGAGCCACTGCTGGTGGGAATGCAAGCTGGACTAGTCACTCTGGCAAGCAGTGTGGAGACTCCTCAAAAAGATAAAAACACATCTAGCACATAACTCAGCTAGACCACGCCTCGGCATATACCCCAGGGACCCTACTCCACATGTAATTCCTCACCGTGGTACCTGACGCTCTCTATTCACAACAGGTAAGAAATAATACAAATGGCTTGCAACAGGTGGATTAATAACCAGAATGTGATGTGTGCACACTATGGAGCACTATTCGACTAGAAAGGAAAATGAAATCATGTCATATGCAGGTAAATGGCTGAAACAGAAGATATTATGCTGAGCAGGTAGCCCAGACCCAGAAAAACCAGTGTCACATGTTCTCTCTTATTTACGGATCCCAGCTCCAAGTCTTCAGACGTGAGCCTACAGCCTGGAGTAACTCGGACACGTGAAACGTTTACCTGGCAGGAGAGGAAGGGCGCTACACCTAGCGAAGGGAATAGCGGGACGCAGGTGCTATGAAAGGGAAATAGGAAAAGCAGCTGAGGAAAACTTACCAGGGAAGGGGGTAGGCAGCACAAAATATGCTTGAAAAAGCCATACAATTCACAGTGATACGTTTATTTAAAACGTGTGTGTGTATTTAATGAAGTTATGCCACTAAGGGTGATAATGCTCCCCCCAGAGTGATAGTTTATCTAACAAAAACCCCAATGTCAGGTATAGAAGTGTCCTTTTGAGTCGTTGGTCAGAATGGTACAAAAGGCCCCACCCCATCGCTACAAAACAATACAGGCTTTTTCCTTGGCCCTTGGTTTGCCTACAAGAAATTGAAGGTAAGACTCTCTTGCTGAAGACAAAACACACTTCTGACAGATGGAGACAAGCTCTCATAATATCCAATAGTCAGTCATATTCAGTGTGCATCCTATAAACTATGACTATGACCAGAACAGCACGGTACTCTGGAAAGTGCAATAGCGGCACTTATACATTCTGGGGTAACCAGCAGCCGCCTTACTGGACTAATCCCATCCAACCAGAGGGAGTGCATGCCTGGTTCTGTAAGCTTGGGCAGCTCCTCACGGCTGTAGGGCCATGGAATCTAGAAGAGCTTACTTTCCTAAAGCAGCATAACTTCAGGTTCTAAATATTCCTCCTCACATCACAGGCGAGCGCAGCTCTCACCCTCAACAAAGCCTCTTTCTGCAGCACAGGGAGCGATGGTGAAAACCCACAGCTGGTCAGAGTGGCAGTCCACAGCACAACCCACAGCTAAGGCTCGGGGAGACTGCAGAGAGCCAGATGTCTGCTGAGAAACGGTGTCTTCTACATACGGCAGTGAAACTGTACCTGTGAAACCTCAACAGTATGGTTACCTAAGTAATACCTGAAAAATAACAGTGCCAATTGACAGGCAATGTGGATGGGGGGAATCTCACAGGGCCCCAGCCCTAGATGAAGAGCTACAGCAACCAGTGCTGCTGAGAAAGGGAGGGAGAATCAGATTAGTAACCCTGATAGGTTACCGCTCCTGAGCAGTCAGCCCTAAACACATAGACACAAGAGTAACATTAAATGAACACAGCAAGTTGTACTAACATATTTATTCTCTCTCTCTCTCTGTGTCGCTCTTTCTCTCTCATACACACACACACATACACACACACACACACACACACACACACACACACACACACACATAACAAGAATAACGAGAGACTGTAACTTTAGAGGGGGCACAAAGATGATACAGGAGGGTTGGAAGGAGAAGACAAGGTGGGAAATGATGTAAACACAATACACACATGCTGTGGAGAGTCCTTCTGTGTACTGTCAATATATATTACACTCATTGGTTATCAAAGAACTGACTGGCCGGAAGCCAGGAGGAAGTATAGGCAGGACAGCCAAGCTGAGAATGCTGGGAGGATAAAGGGCGGAGTCAGTGGAGTCACCAGGAGACACAGGGAACAAGACAGCTGGAGGACAGGTAAAGCCACAAGCCATGTAGCAACACAACAATTAACAGAAATGGGTTAATTTAAGTTGTAAGAGCTAGTTAGTAATAAGCATGAGCTACTGACTGAGCATTTTTAATTAATATAAGCCTCAGTGTATTTATTTGGGAGCTACTGGTGGGCAGAAACTACACACATATATGAAATAAAAGTTAAAATTTAAAAAGAAAGAAATGAGTAACAGGCAGTTTCCTCCCAGTTTTGTTCTTACTGTTGAACTATTTCCCAAGTATAATGAAGAGCTTCCTGCTCAATGACCATATCACTCTCTTATATTTTTATAAGAACTAAAATAATTAACAACTTACTTTCATCATTTTTTTGGTTTCACGGTTGAGAACCATCTCCAACACAAACACATCGCCTGCGGAGGGTTGCTCCGGAGTTTCCTCCTCCTCCTCTTCTTCTTCCTCTTCTTCCTCATCATCTTCAGTCTCTCCGAGCATGGAAGCAAACACTTTGTGAACTGACTTACTCACTCCATCGGATGTTTCCCCTAAGGAACGGTACATTAAAGTTGTGGGGGTAGGAAATCAGTAAAACAACTTTAAAAAAATTGCCTGTTCATGGAGCACAAATTCCTAACCGCAGCCACAACAAACCTGAGAGTAATGGCAAATGAACACCCTCCCCACCCCCAAAAAGAAAAGAAAGCTATCGCAAAGCCACGTCTTTCACTCTGCAGGAAAGCCTGGTTCCCGCTCTGTGCCTTGTCCAGACACAAGCAAAGGACGAGCAAAAGCAAAGGCACACACAGTAACAGGCACAAGCAGAGAAGGGGAACAGTATCCGTCACAAGGCACAGGTGAGGAGCCTGCAACTGAAACCTGAGAGGCCTGAGGCTGAGTATAGGATGGGAGCTTGTCAGCTAACTCCTCTAGCCAATTGGTGAGCTCCAGGTTTAGGGAGTGCAGGGGTTTAAATAAGAATGGCCTCCACAGTCTCATATACTTGAATGCTACTTACCAGGAAGTGGCACTATGTGCCAAGGATTAGGAGGCGTGGCCTTGAAGTAGGCGTGGCCTTTTGGGAGGAAGGATGTTGGGGCAGGTAGGCTTTGAAGTTTCAAAAGCCCACGTAGGCCCAGCCCCTCCCTCCTGCCCTCCCCTCCCCCCCCTCCCAGGATGCAGCTCTTCGCTACTTCTCCAGCACCCCACCTGTCACCACGCTTGCTGACATTACAATAATGGACTAAACCCTGAAACTGTAAGCAAGCCAATTAAATGCTTTCCTTTGTACAAGCTGCTGTGGTCGTGGTGTCTATTCACAGCAATAGAGCAATGACTGAGACAGTGAGAAACCCTATCTCAAAAATCATGCTGGAGTGTGCTAAAGGGAGACATTCAATGTCCATCTCAGGCCTCCATACATAGGCACACATACACACGTACACATGCATATACACATATGCTTAAAAAAAGAAATAAAATTATTGTTATTCACAAAAGACATGATGATATATTATATAATCCAATAGATTCTACATACAAATTGCCAGAATATACAGTTACCTGGCAAAGTTATTAGATACAAGGCTTTAAAAAAATCTCATATAAGCTGCAAGGAATTGAACCCAAGGCCTTGCATACACTGCCAGAGAAGTACTCTACACTGAGTTGTATCCTCAGCTCCCCTTTTCTTTTTGAGACAGAGTCTCTCTAAGTTCAGGCTGGCCTCAAATTCATTCTGTAGCTCAGAATGGTCTTGAACCTAGGATCCGTCTGTCACAGTCTCCCTAGTAGCTGGGATTACTGGACAGTAGATTTATAAATCAGCAATAAGCTTCGGGTGAAATTAAAATGCCCAGTCTGTGTCGTAAGTAGGAAATGATCTTAAAAATTGGTATTCAGAAACATCAAAGAGGAAAAAGACACGATTCTAGAGACCTCATCTTTCCAATCTGTAGATTCTGCCAGAGCTTGTTCAAGGAGACCTGTCGTTTACTCTGAATATATGCTTACACTACCAAGAGTCTCCAAAGAAGTCAGGACAATCCATCCTGAGGAAGAGGAGTATCTTAGCTCTGACTGACTGACAGGGTGACTTCAGCTGAGGCTAGCCAGTTCTTATCCACTAGAAATGGACTCAGCTGACCCAATTCCCACTCCCTCTTTCCCCAATGAAAGGCCTAATGATCTTAAATACTAAGGATGGCTTTAAGTGTACCCCAAAGACTATCTATCTACTGAAGAGCTGGCTTTCCCTAACCAGGTCAGATGGACCCACAGGCTGCCGGGGCCTCTTCAGCCCCTTCCTACCCCAACTTGCCTGGGAGACACGAAGCTCAATACTGTCTCCTTGTCTCTTCTTCCCAGGGTCCAGAAACTCAGGAATAAAGTGTGAGTTTTCCATGCAAAAGCTTACTTGCTCAGAGAAAAAAATACCACACAAAAGTCGAGCTGAGCTTAGCTCACCAACCAGGTTCCTAAACATGAAGCCACATTCTAATTGACACAAGCCACCCAAGTAAGTTGACAGAGGCAAATGGATATGATCAGCGATCAGCACTCTGATCAGTAGGAATACACATCAATCAATAGAAACTAATAAATATCTGTACTCATTTAGACACTCATTTAGGCTGTGATGGGCTTAATTAATTAGTCCAGATGTAATAACCAACTATAATATCTGGAGATGACAAGCTAATATCTGGGTATGTGCCCTAGTTTGTTTCAGTTGCTATGACAAAACAGTAACCAATACCAACCTAAGGAAGGAAGGGCATACGTGTTTAAGGGTGACAGGTCATCATCCAGGAGGCCAGAGCAGGAGGCCAAGGCCTTGCTGAAGGTACAACCGCAGCAGAGACCATGCAGGAACAATGCTCACTGGCTTGTTCTCCAAAGCTTGCTAAGATTGCTTTCTTATACAACTCAGGACCTCCTAGCCAGGAGTGGCTCTACCCACAGTGGGCTCCCACACTGAGTCAAAAAAATGGCCCACAGACATGTCTACTAACCAACAGGTCCCTCCGCCTAGGTGACTCCAGTCTGCGCCAAGCTGACTAAAAGCATCCCAATCTGGCTGCTGGAGCGAGGCAGCACACCAAAACACCGATGATGGACGTGAAGTGCCATCTAAGCACGGAAGTCTGCTTAAGTCTGCACGGAAGCGGCACAATCTGCTACGGTCCGCAAGAACTCTCCCATTGAGGCCAGTTTAGCAAATGACATAAAAAGGCCCTAAACAAACGCTGGCACCAATTTTAAACCCCACAACACTGGGACTATACCAAAACAACCATCATGACAGACAACCGTTTAAAAAATGAATAAATAAATACTAAGCAGCTACAATGTGCCAAACACTGATAAACCAGGTAATAAAAGTAGGCTAGCATTACAGCGACAGCAAACGGTTTTCCTGCATCGCTTCGGTTAAGAGCTCTTAGCATTTAAAACCGGCAGCAAACGAACGCCACGCACCTTCATTGGCATCTTTGTCCTGGGATTTGGCAGAGTCGATTCCTGATGATGATGGGACTTCCGGGTTTTCTTGGGGCGATGGTTTTCCTTTTTCTGGAAGGCTCTGCGATTGAATATTACTTAAATCGTTCAAAAACTTATGCGCATTTAACTCTCCTGACCCGGGACGGGGCATTTGCGCTCCCTTTATAAAACTTGAACCTCCACTTGTGGGATGTGGAATCTAAATTTGAATACTTTCAGCGTATTTCAAAGTACTTAAGTCTTAACCTTATGTAAGTCATTTGCAAATATGTATAGGACAGTTAAAATTTGAATTTTAAAAACTTGAATTTCATTAATCCAACACTTTAAATAAAACATAGGGTGCTTAGGCGGCCACGAATCCGTAAGAAACCACGGGCTAACTTCAAAAGTCAACGGACTGGCCTTCAAATAAGTGAGAACAATTTTTTAAGTTCAGATACTTATTAAAATTTGAAAAGCCAAGTAAAAAGATGCTCTTGCTGTCAGGCAATTAAGTTCACTTTTATGTCTAAGATAAAACTGCACCACCGAGACTCATCAAAAACGGGCACTCCTGGGATGTAGCTCAATGGAGTTTTGTGCAGCAAGCTGGAGGCCTTGAGGTTTGGCCCCCAAGAACACTTGTACGTATGACAAAAACAATGGGTCTGGTTCCTAGAGAACAGTGGCGCGTACGTGCCCCGTCTACGGTGACAACCTAGTGGCAAGACCAGGTTTAGGAGCAGTCAAGACCACCGTGGCTCCAGACTCCTCCAGCTCCAGTTAACCATAGGGCACTGGGCTATCACCGAACAACACTAAGGAGTCGGGAGGCTGGCGCCCACCGAGGCCAGCTTGTGAGCTGGGGGATGTCTTGAGAGGCGCTGAGTTCGGGGGTGCGGGACGAAACTCGGAGTTTCTGGGAGAGGAGGAACCAGCCCGAGTCCCCCGCCCACCCCAGGCTCCGCACGCCCGCTGCTTCGGGGAAACCAGACCGAGGAGCCCAGCGACTCACTTTCTTCTCCCGGGTTTTTCTCTCTTCTCTCCGCCTTTCGAACTCTTCGAAGGAGATTTTTCCTTCCAGGTAGTCGATAAGCTCCGGGCTGAAACCCGACATGTCGGCGGGGGCAGACGCTAGGTAGCGGACCGGGAAAGCGGGAACACCCGGGCTCCACCGGGCGCTATGGAGAGACGCGTCCGCTCCAGAAAACTCCCCGGCCCGCGCCGCGGCCGAGCACTCGGGTTCCGCCAGCGCTCTAGGCCCCAGGCCTCTTCCGGCTGGCAGAGATGATCCGGAAGGCCGGCTTTTCCTTGAGTTTCCGGCAGAAGGGGACTTAATCTGGGGTGCAGCACAGGCCAGCACGTTCGCTTGGGGTTCTAGCTCTAACATCAACCACTTTTCTGTCCCGAACACTCAGACTTTTAAAGGGAATGAGATCCCTCACCTAGGGTGCCTACTCTTTTGCCCGTTGCATACAGCTCTCAAAATAATCCTTCGAAACCTATGAGAGAAGAAAAACGTGTAAGGGAGAGGTGTCGGGGGGGAGGGGGTCATAGAACACTGCGATTTGAAAGGGAGAAGGGCAACACCTGAGGTGGAAAGATTTGGGGGAGGGATCACCAAAGAGAGGAAGGGGTGGGGATGAGGGTCAAATGGGGAAGGGGAAGGGGCATTCTTTTCAATTCCTATGAGCTCCTGTGTTTTGCATCTTTTCTTGTATTATAAGTATTTCTTTGTCCTACTCTAGAGACACTACCTATAAACACATGTACATGCACACACACACACACACACACACACACACACACACGGGCGGGCGGGGGGAGGCAGACATTTTCATTCTCACAGGAGCTGCTGTGTTTTGCATCTTATAACTATTTCTTTGTCCTGTTCTTCTAAGGGCACCACCTACCGTCCATGAGAACATTAGTCTATGTGCCGCTATAAACCTGACTAACCTGCTAACATGTGCTCAAACAGATTTGTGAATCAGGTTGGATGAAACTAAAAGAACCTTTGGAACTTTGGGTAAAGGAGTTGAGTTCAGCCCACTCTGGACTTCAGAGAAAGACTCCAGGGAACCTATCTCTGAGTATCTTTATGACCATCCAGGTGAAGGTGCTCCATAACAAAATGACAGAATCCGAGGGCAGGACCAGCAAGAACTGGACTAACAGAAGACAGAAAACTATCTCAGTTAGGAGTCCTTGAGGATCCTCAGTGTCCTACACAGACATGAAAACATCCAGGAGCAGATGGAGGCTGTAAATGTAATCCCCAGAAACTGCTGTGAGTGTTGTGTCCAGAGTTAAGTCAGCTTGTTCCTTGTTTTTAGAGCAAGGCCACTGTTCTTGAGTTAGGCCGTCTTTATCAGCCTGTACCAGGTGGTTGACTGGGCTGAGCTAAGTGACCTTGTGCTCAGAATATCCTGGGTGGGAGAGGGGGAGGCCACTATCTTCCTGGGAAAACATTCTGCTAGGAAATTTCTTCTTGCCCCTTTGAGAATAAGGGGTGAGGGTCCCACAGTGAGGATTACTCCCCTGAAGTCTTCAGGCAGTTGGGGAATTGTGCCTAAGAAGTTAGGACTGTCTCCAGGACTGACTTCAAAAGGGAAAGAAACAGAAAGTGAAGAGGGGTGGTCACTGGTAACTAACCACTCAACACATAAATGCTTAGGTTGGCGCCTGTCGACTGATTGGACTATGGGAATGAAATGCCAATAGAAGCAGGTGCATAGCAAAGAGAAAGGGGGCTTTGGACGGAGCTGGGAAGAGATAGGTTCTGCCCAGGACCACTTTCGGGACGTGGAAGTGTTTTCGAGGTCAGAATGTCTTCACATTTAACTCGATTTTCGTTTTCTACTTCCTTTTAGTAATTTGTCCATGGGTGAGTCAGAGGCAGTCACATTACCTGGAGATGGAGCCGAACTGTTATAACAGTAATGAAAATATCAAGAAGAAACAATTGGGTCTTTCAGACGGATTTTTGAGGCTCAAAATGGAAAGGTCTACAGGAAGCAGACCATTGAATTTATGCCATGACAATTGAATTAAAGAGGACAGAGAGGCAACTCTGTTCTTTCTCTTGTTAGGGAGGACACAGGAAAAGTTGGGGTGCTTCTGAGGGAACCATTTTTCCACGGGCATCTAACTCTTCTGCAAAAGTTTGTGGATCTTTATTCTTCCTGCATTCATGTAGATCAAACACCATGAAAGTAGACGTCTCATTCTGGGACAGGGAGCATACTTTTTTTTCTTTTTGAGACAGGGTGGGCCTCTCTCTCTCTCTCTCTCTCTCTCTCTCTCTCTCTCTCTCTCTCTCTCTCTCTCTGTGTGTGTGTGTGTGTGTGTACACTCCCTGCTGTAACCCTGGCTGTCCTGGAACTCCCCGAGTAGACCAGGCCACCCTTGAACTCAGAGATTCACCTGCCTCTGCCTCCTTAGTTTAAAGGTTTAAAGGTGTGTGAAGCCATGCCCAGCCTAGATATCTTTTCTAATCACTATGATAAAGATCCTATTTCCCTTTGAGGCAAAAGTTGGACCTTTTCCCCCATAGCAAGCTCATAATGAGAGACTTTCCTACATTTTGAGCTCTTCAGCTTTGGTGGAGACACACCTATTTCTAGTATACCTCTGGGCCCGTGTTCACTCGCCTCCCTTCAATAAATCCGGACTCAGTGAGAGTGAGTCATGCTCCCTGCCACACCTGAGTCACTGGACCAATTGTCTCAGTTCAGGGGCCTCATCGCCTGCCAGGATGGAGGGAAATATAGAAGGGTAATATTTTGCAAGTAGGATAAAAATCGCAACTCTCAGAAGCTCTTGACTGTGCCAGATCCAGAAACGGGATAATGGGCCATATCCTGGAAATGGAATCCTCGCGGAAGAAGAGCAAGCCCAGAGTGGAAACGTTGCCATAGACCTATACAGAAATGCACCACGGGACTCTTGACAGTCTAAAGCACTTGAAGTACATTTGCTTCCAACAGAGAAAACCCTTCAACTCGGGACCTCCTGAGTACTTTCCAGTATGGGACACACAGATACTCTGGGGAGGAATTTTTAAACTGAAGGCCACACACTTCTGCCCTGCGATTCACAAGCTCATACCTAAAGAGTCTCCTGTGGGTGCCCATCTGTTTCAAGGTCTCTGAAATTAATCAACACTTGCCTGGATGAGAAGTGGTGCTGAATCCCACTCAGGGACGTCACAGAACACCTCACCCAGCCATTTACCCGAATAAGCTGCTATACTTGAATGAGGAGTAACACAATAGTAATCGCTTATCTTTTTAAATAGTGGAAAAATAATCTTGTTAACTAAAGTGTCCTCTGCTTTACGTTTAGGATTGTGTGAAGGGTGTTAAGGCACACTTGAATTTAACAAGTATTCATTGAACAACTGCTACCCAGCAGACACTGGGCTAGGTTCTGGAGAGCGATGAATGAGTCACATAATGGTTGCTGCTCACAAACAACTCACAACCCTCCAGAGGCAAGCACTTAGGTCACTAACCACAGGAGAACGCACTGAGCTAGACTCGGAACTTGTTTGTGCACAAGTACTTTATTCTACATATTCTGTAGTAAGGGGCCCACTTGTTTGTTTCCGACTGCTCAGCCCCGAAATAATCACACAGAAACTGTATTAATGAAATCACTGCTTGGCCCATTAGCTCTAGCTTCTTATTGGCTAAACCCATGTATCACCACGTGGTTGTGGCTTACCAGGTAAAGTTCCAGCATCTGTCTCTGGTGGGACTGCATGGTTTCCTTTTACCCCCACCTTCTTTCTCCCAGCATTCAGTTTAGTTTTCCCCGTCTAGTTAAACCCTGCCCTGCTGTAGATCCAAAGCAGTTTCTTTATTAATCGATGGTAATCACAGCGCACAGAGGGGGATCCCGTATCAATATTCAGCTCGACCGTTCTCAAAAAGCCACAGTGGAATGTTTTGAAATACACAGACGAATGGTACCAGAGCAGTGCGGTGTGAGTTCAGGGACAATGTTCCATGCCGGAATCACACACAAAAATAGTGCCAGCGTTCAAAAAAGCACAAGGACAGTAGCCATATCAAATGGAAGTGTGGCCTCCGCATGGCTCAGTAGGAGAGTGACTTGGTTGGAGGAGTAGGGAATTCACCTTTTGCCGCTGTCCCTTGTTGAGAGACTCATATTTAAAGTCAAGCTAGGGTGAAGGTGGAATATTGGACATGAGGCAGTTTTTAGCTTCAAAGGCAGCATGAAAGCATCTCCCAGAGACCTTGCAGCAACTAGAACCCTGTTTATTTCCTATTTCACTGGGATACGCATCACCCGCATTCAATAGGTGATGAGATCTTTCAGGAGCACAAGCTTAAAGTGGGACTTACCATTTTTTCAGAAGGAAGAAAAATCCTAAGTCTGAACCTCTATTATATATTATAAACGGTAGTAAACAGGTCTGAATCCCTATTATGTATAATACACTGTAGTAAAGAGTAAACACATCTTGCTTAAATAAAAAAATATTAATAATAGGTAATAAATAGAAAAGATGATTTAAAATCATGCGTCAAGAACATATCTGATTTGGAAAATTATCGTTTTATTTCATTTGTTGTCTTTTTGTGACTCCTTCAAGCACATGCAATCTTCCACTCGATAATTATGGTCACAAAGGGGGAAATAGTCCGGAAATACGCATGCCAGTATCATGTGTTGCAAAAGCCCAACTGTTTCGATGTATAATCGGGAAATGTAGAATAAAATTGCTAGAAATTGGCTAACATGGAAGGGAAACACACACAAGACTTCAGCCACAGTTGAATTTTTCTGCTGAAAAGTTTTTCGGCAGCTTCAACACAGGGACACCTAAAAAAGAGAGAGTTACAGTCCAAGACAAGATAGAGCTGTGATAACACAAGGCCCCCCCCCCCCCCCAGATCAATCCCAGCAACAGCTGAATGAATGAATTCAGTGACACCCCACACCAGAACTGTTTTCCCCGACAACGTTGAGTTATTCCTGAGTGCTTTGTCCCCTCGACCCTAGAAATGCCCTCATCCAGGTCACAGGAGGATCTATCTTGTATTCTCTGAGGTTTCCTATGAACTAGAGGTCAGTCGGGACACAGTGATGATGTCACCTCACACCGAGAGGGCATTAGAATGGAAATAACTGCTCTTTGTCTGAGAATCCCACACTCTAGAGCCTCTGCATGTGGCATCCATCTTTTGTGAAGCAAATGCTAAGCTTGTGGTCCGTTTGTGATAGAATTATTCCTGAAGACCGGATAGAATTGCTTAAAGGCATTTTAAAGTCTGGTTCACAATTGCAATGGCGTGCCTGGTTCAGAGAAGAGGCTAAGATTATTGAACAACAGAGTAAAAGAGAGGTAGGGAAATCTCCCAAGATCAAATTCTTAGAGAAGGAGACTAGGCTACTATAGAAAGGCAAGCTGTATATGAGGACCACACCCTGGATTTATGCAGCGCAGCAGCTTTGAATGCTTGGGACAGAACTGGCGAAATTAAAAAGAAAGCTGTTATACAATTATACAGGGCCCAAAGGAAGCCTTTATGGGTTTCTTACAAAGACTGACCTCAGCAATAAATAGAGTGACACCAAATTCAGAAGCTAGACAAACAATAATTGAATCTCTGGCTTTTGAAAATGCCAATTCTCTATGCAAAGGATAATTAGGCTGCTAAAGGCAAGGTCAGCACCTTTGGAGGAATGGATCTGAGACACGGTTAATATTGAATCTTATGAACATGATGATGCATGGATAGGAGAGGTGATTGCTAGAGGTTCGAGGAAAAATTGAAATGTCAAATGTTCTAATTGTGGCAAACAAGATCACCTTAAAAGGGACTGTAGAAAAGGTGTTCCTAGAAACAATGTTTCTTTCTAAGAATAATCCATTCAGGACGCCCCCTCCCTTCTAGATTATGAAGAAAGTGTGGCAAAGGCTGGCATTGGACTATTGAGTGTAAGTCAACAAAGATATTCATGGTAGTCCTTTGCTGACGGGAAGCTCCTTGAAGGGCCCCTTGCAGATCCCTATGCCAAATCCGGTTCAGTCATTTCCTGTCGTCGTGGAGGAAGCTCCTTCCCATAATTTCATCAGAAACTTGGCATCCAAATTGACCTCTTCAGGATGTAAATGTTTGGTTTTTAGGGACTGGAACTTTATCTCAGGTAAAGCAGAGCATGAGATGGGTCAAACGTATAGGGACAGGACAGAGAGGAATATTAAAACCATATGTGGCTAACATACCAATTTGTGGGGATGTGATTTGTTACAGCAGTGGAACCCTCAGATTAACATTCCCACAATCATAGAAACAAACCATAAATTAACGTATGTTTCTGGGGAAAATGCTAGGTTTTATCAAGAAAGCCCCGAGTCTCTATCTCTTCCCATCTTATATTTCCCTTCAGTGCTGGGATTAAAGGCGTGTGACTCCTTAGTCCTGGGATTAAAGGCATGTGATACCACTTCCTGGCCTCTGGCGGCTTAGTTTTACCTTCCACTCTTCAGGCAAACTTAATTTATTAAAAAATAAATAAAATATCACTAGAGAAGGCTCTTTATGTCATTGTTTGTCCTGTTTGATTTCCTCATTTTTAGTGCAGCATCCAAGTGCATATTCCACAAGTTCAACCCCATCTTTTTAGAATTACCAATCATTCCCTGCTACATTTAAGAGAATTAATCATGAAAAGAAAAGAATCGTGATGGCTAACTCACAAGAAATCCATGTACTTTTGGAGGAATGGGGAAAGATTTTAATTATGATACCATTGCCTTTATTGGCCAGCTAAACAAGCTAGAATAATAATATTTTGAATATAGCATGCCTACTGCTTCTAAAATCAGACCTATTTGTTTGATAAGAATGTAAAAAATGAAATTAAAATCTTATAAATCTTATAAATATATTTTAAATGTTTTCCAATAAGAAAAATGCTGTCTTTGCTAATATTGTGATTTGTTTTTCTAGGTGAGGAAGTTCCAGATCAAAGATATACACAACACTTTTCCTCAAAAGAGCTGCTCTTGTAACTTTCCCATTCAGTCCAAGTCATTAACCTACTTCTTTACATGTAATTTTCCATGTAACTTACCTATGTGGCCAGTCGGGAAAAAAATGCAGAAGTAAGACTATTGCTATCCATCAATTTGAAAAACCTCCTAAGAGTGACAATTCTATGATTTGTCTTCTCTTCAGCGACATTACTATCATTTATTTAAAGAAAACAAAAACAAAAACAAAACAGACTACGAAATGCCTGAGCCAAATCTCATTATTTAAAGTGATGGGTACAACGGAAGCTGTCAAAATGTCTCCTGCATGACTTTGTGGTGCTTGGGCAGACCCTGGGGCCCAAGGGGCAGCATTACCTGGACTCAGAGGCTTTCAGCCCTTGTGGGAACTAGGGAGGGAGTTTTTCTGCTCTTCGTAGTCTGCAAATGCAGAAGCGATGCGCTCCGCCTGGAAAGGGAGAGGTCTGGGGTCCTCCTCCATGGAGAAGGCATTTGGAAGGCTCCCAAGATCGAGTCCTCGGCCCTTAAAATAGGCCTGGAGGCTTCTGAAAAACTGAAGACAAAGAAAAACGCTCAGTGCTTTATAGAGGAAACACCCAAACGCCCAGAGCCCCGTGTTTGTTTCCCGCCTTCCTCCTCCCTGAACTGACTTGAGCATTAGCCAGAGAAGCGGAAGTTGACAGTCTAGAGAGGCTTGAAGCTTCTGCCTGCTGTCTGGCATTTCAGCCCCCACAGGGCAATTCAGCGTTCTTGGTGGCAACCCAGGGAAGGCATACTTATTAAGCCACACTTCTGGCAGAGATTTATAGTGAACCATCTCCAACCAGCAAGGTTAGAAATGAAACCGAACCCTGCTTTCTCTGCCTGAGGAGACCCCAGTTACTGCCCTGGACGCCTGTGTCTGTTTTCAGATACCCTTCAGCGAAGGTACGGCTAGAAGCTGTGGTAGCGGCTTGACGGCTTCCCATCACTCTAGAGAAACCACATTTGAAACAGTCATATCAACACGCTTGTTGAGCTGAGCATCCTTTTAAAAGAGTATTCTTCTGATCTTCTGAATTCTGCTCTCTAGATACCTGCGGGCTTGAAGCTGATACCCGCACAGGGTCGACGTCCAGTTCCTGTAAACGGCTTTGCAAATGCCGTCGTGGGGCAAATTCGTTCTATCATATATGTCTTAGGTGCCCTATATGCCTTACAAAAAGCGATTCTCTCTTGCTCTCCCCTTTTCCTGCTGTTCCAGGGACCAAACCCAGGTTCCTCGCGCAAGCTGGGCAAGCTTTCCAACCCCAAGCTAAGACGCAATCCTCTTTTCATATTGTCTGCACGTTAGAAACCAGTGCTCTGATGCTGGGGTATCGATAAGGTCACTACAAATGCGATGTGCTGTGTATGCATAAACTGATTTCTAATGTAAACTTGTTTCTCCATAAGAAACAAATGTAAATCAGCTAGAGAAATATTAGAGTGCCTGCTACCAGGGGAGCAACATCTAGTCCTGTCCTGATGAGAATCTTCTCAACCCTTGGCTGCTGTAGTATAATTTTTGGGAGGTGCTGCCTGCATCCCTCAGCCATTGCTCCCCAGGCGTGTTCTTACCAGTTCTCTGTTTCTGGGGTTGCTCAGCGGCTTCCACGTGTCTTCCTTTCTCAGCATGGCTCTGTGTGCATGGCTGCTCAGTACCAGGGCAGCCCAGAGCAGCAGGAGGGGTGCTTTGGACATGGTGCTGTATGAAACGGGGGACTATGGTCACAAAGACAGTCTGAGGGAAGAGGGAGAAACACAAGGATCCAGGCAGATAAAGAAGAAAGAGCATATTGGCTTGTCTAAGTTTTGTAACCATTTTTGGGGGGTCGGCTGCAAATGAGACTCTTGAAATCCAGTGGACTAGCTTAAAACACTTCACAATAATGGAAACACTGTAATGTGCTGAGCAAAGTGATGTGACTGTCCCTAGAAAGCCTGGGTATGCAATCCACATAATATACATATACATACATACATACATACATACATAGTAAATGTATATATATGTATATGTGTGTGTGTATAGTTTAATCTCCAAAACAGTACAAGATTTAAAATTAAAAAATAAATCTTAAGTCTAAAAATCTTGTCTTAAGTCGGCAGATTTTTTTTTTTTATGGACATGAAATGGCAGAGAAATAGAAAGTACTTTGGCTGCGGACGGATATACCTCTGTGGTAGAGTGATGGTTTAGCATTCACAAAGCCCTGGGATCAATCCCTGGTACGACAAAAAGGGAGAGAGAAAGACAGATACAGAGAGAGGGTGAGAGAAAATGAGGAAGAGGAGAATTAGGAGGAGGAAGAAGAAGAATTTAAAATAGCAACCAAAAAGAATACTTAAAGTACCCTCAACTGAGAAATGTCCCCAACAAACGTATCTCAGACAGACAGACACATCCCACAGCAGCCCAAGTTGAGACTGTTTTCCGTCTCAAGGTGGGGTATAGAAGCTGAAACACAGACAGAGGCAATGAAGCTTACCAGGGTGCTGGAGAGGGCTTCGCCTGACCCTGCCTACGATCTGCCACCAGTCCCTGGGCTCTTATAACCAGGGGACAGGCTGTAAGAGGGAGCCACTGACGTGAGCGGAGGCAGTTCAAAAATAATGATACCGTTTTCATCCATGGCACAAAGACCCTTGAGAAGCAGATCGCTCAGCATCTTCAGGGGTGGCCTATTTATCTTTTAAGTGCATCAGCTGCCTCGTGAACCACTGGCCGTATTGCACAAATTTTATAAAACGCACGAGCCACCTCCACACGGCAAGGGCTCTCGCTTTTCTCACGTTCAGGCCGGGGACGGCGATGACTACCTCACCGAATAAGATGGACTTGGAGAGACATCAGTTTTCAAATTAACAGCATTTTTTTTTAAACAAGAAACTCTATTGCAAATGACAAAATTGCTCTTTTTGACCCCCATGTGCTAGCTTCTTCTTAGAAATAGTGGCATAGTTTGCTATAATAGCCCATTCAAGATGAAGCCACCAGAGAGCATATCCTTCACAGGAAGATGAAAAATGACTGTACCTACCGCACGCCCTTGTCATATAAGAGCCATCTGGAGGAAATGGTACGGCAGAGAAATTGGACTCGATGGCTGATGAATTTGCTGGGGCTCCAAGGATTCTGAACAGAACTCAGGACAAGCTCATTGTTCAGAAGTGCAGTGATGGGAGTTGTAAATTACAGTAATTGCCGGGGGTTGTCGAGGTGGTGCACGCCTGTCGTCTCAGGACTTGGCACGTAGAAATAGGATGTTCAGCCATTTAAGGACAGCCCAGGCTACATCTTTATTTGAGACCAACCTTGAATACACGAGATGCAGTCTCAAACACACACAAAAAACTGGCTATTGTTTCAGCTTTGTGGCCTTGACTATGAGCAAGTTTTTGACGTTCTTTTGTTCATGTTTTGTTCAATCAGAAGATGTCTTCTCCTTTCTCTCTCTCTCTCTCTCTCTGTCTCTCTCTCTCCCTCCCTCCCTCCCTCCCTCCCTTTTCCTCTCCCCTTCCCTCCCTCCTCTTTCTCTCTTTCTTTCTTCTGAGACAGGATCCCACTATGTAGTCCAGGCTAGCCGCAAACAGGCAATCTTTCTGCTTCAGTCTCGTGGGTGCAGTAACTACACTGTGAACCTCCACACCTGGCTCACATTACTGAGCCTTGACCATGTGTGAGGCATTGCACTAAGCTTTGACAGCAAAATAAGTCCCTGCCCTCAATGGCCAAAGCGGAACAGAAGACCAACATTCACTCCATCATTACTCTGCACACCATTCAGACGGTGGTAACTTCTTGTGGCGCTGTCGGGTGAGTCCCGGATCCTGTACACAGTAGGCAAGCACCCTACCACCGAGCTATATCCCTGGCCCTTTGTGATTTGGAGACAATGTTAGTCTGTCCTTGAGTTGGGGACCCTTCCGCCCCAACCTCTGGAGTTCTGGAATTGCAGGTTTATAGTGCCATACCCAGCTGACGATGACAATTTCCATCAGGAGAAAGTGTAGCGGTGGAGAGTATGATTCATGCCCAAGGGTCAGAGAAGGCTTGTGTGAGATAGTGACCTTACAGCTAGTCCATTGATTATGAGTTACCTAGGCAACCTCGGAAGGCAGAAGAAGTGGTTTTTCAAGTGAGCTGAGTAGTTGCTCTGAGGGTGCCCTAAGGCAGCAGGAAACAACTTAGCAGGCCTGTAGAAATAACTTAGGGGGCATCTGGAGGAGGAAATGACTTAGGGGGCGTCTGGGGAGGGAGCTGTGGTGGGAGAGGTAACTGGAGCATAAGATCGCTCCTACAAGAACTAAGAAGGGGCCGGCGTGTTTTAAACAGCCAAGCAGCTTAACCAAACAGGCATTAAAAAAGAAAAAAGATGCCAGTTGCCACGGGGAGAGGAATCTGTGAAGTCAGAGAAGAAGTAGCCACGGTACAGGGTGTGCCAGGGCAGCCTCGGAGATGGGCGGATGTGAGCGGCTTTTGAGAGGGGGCAGCGTGAGGGAACAGGGCTCGTGGGCAGGGGGTTTCCAAACCAACCCCTGCGTCTGTGGATCGTGCAGCTGCATGGTTACACTGTCAACTCAAGACAACAATAACTGGCTTGAAGAAGTGAAGCTCACTATTCCAAGTTGAGTTTGAGGAGATTGGGAGATCCAGCAGCACCGGGCAATGTGGGAATGGATATGCGGATCTGAAGCCCAGAGGAGGCTCAGTCATAACCCCGTGGACAATTCACACTTTAAAAAAATTTCTACTTTTTATTGAGAGAGTCACAAAACAGTCTAAACCATAAAAAAAAAAATCAGAGACTAACATTCCTGGACTTGACAAAGACATAGTTTCCATTTCTTTGAATATCTGAATAAATGTATTGAATATGTTATAACCCTGTTAAATTTCTGGAATGTTGAGAAGAGGCAAGAGCAATAAAAAAACATTCCCTGAAACTGCATAGAGAATCTTCCCCGGCAAACAGTAAAAATCTTTATATTAAACTTTATCATACTAAAACAATAGTTGTGAGTTGCTTTCTAGAAAGAATATACCAATAAAATACATTTTATTTTTTAACCGGAACATCAGTTTTTGCTTTACTGATTAAAGTTTCTGTTCCATAGTCCGGAAAGATTAAGGGCTAGAACCTTCCAAAGATAAGTCCTTTCCTTTAATGCAATTTTACTTCTGTTAGCAGCTGGTGCTGACAGAATTCAGCCCCATAGGCAGACAGTGAGCTTTTGAAATAGAAAGAATAGATCATGTAGATCCTCCCCCCACCCCCCGCCCGGCTCCTGGCCTAAGAAATTCTCATTTTGGTCCATATATATGAGAATGCAAACCTAGTCTCCGTTTTACCCCAGTCTCATTTAATAAAAATCACTGTACGCTCAGCTAAAAGACGATTTGATTCGCCATTCAATGTTCTAAGATCTTTCTGTTTAAGGAATATTTGTAGGCCCTCAGAGTAAAAGTTAAGATATACAATAGTGTAACTCACTAACATGGAGTTTTCCTGGTTGCCAAAAGAAATCATCTATGACTAGAAACAAGCTTATTTTTTTTAAAGATTTATTTGTTAATGCATGCAGTATCCTGCCTGTAGGCCAGAAGAGGGCACCAGATCTCATTATAGGTGGTTGTGAGCCACCACGTGGTTGCTGGGAATTGAATTCAGGACCTCAGGAAGAGTAGCCAGTGCTCTTAACCACTGAGCCATCTCTCCAGCCCTAGAAACAACTTTAAATTTTATCCTTTGTTACTTTTACTCAACTAGTCAGTTAAGTGGTGCTAGGACTCAAACTCGGAGCCCAGGACATGCAGGACTAGCAAACCAGCACTGAGTTACAGCCCAGTCCTGGCTTCTTTGGGATGGGGTCTCCCGTGAAGCCCAGGCAACAATATGCACACACCAGCTCATTTCTAGTTTGTTTCCAGTGCTGGAAACCAAGCACAGGGCCCCACGTAGGCATGAGCTCGGCTTCTTCCACCTCAGCCCCTTTAAAGTTTTTAAGTCCTTGTTCCCAGCACCCATGTAAAAAGTTGGTTATGGTCTTGTGTACCTGTAATCACAACAGTGGGTAAGAGAGAGAGAGAGTGAGAGAGAGAGGTAGAAAGGAGCTGTGGGCAGGCCTGCTTTTCATCCTGCCCGGCTCCCGCACAGCTAGCTTAGCCCCGGAAATAACAATACACAAATTGTATTCATTTAAGCACTGCCTGGCCCATTATCTCTAGAGAGTTAGTTACTGGCTAACTCTCACATCTTGATGAACCCATTTCTAACCATCTGTTTAGCATCACGAGGTCGTGGCTTACCGGGAGAGATTCAGCATGTCTGACCTGGTGGCTGGCTCCATGGCGTCTGGCTCATAGCCCTCTTCCCAGCATTTTGTTCTGTTTACTCCGCCTACCTAATTTTCTGTCCTATCAAGGGGCCAAGGTAGTCTCTTTATTGACCAATGAAAATAACACAATAGACAGATAACCCTCCTCCATCAGAGAGAGAGAGAGAGAGAGAGAGAGAGAGAGAGAGAGAGAGAATAATCTGGTGCTTGTTGGCTAGCCAGTAAACTCCAAGTTCAGTCAAAGAGTCTGACTTAAAAAATAAGGTGCCCAACAAATGAAGAAATCTGACCTCTGCCACCCACATGTGCACACATACATGTATACATACATTAGAGAGAGAAAGAGGGAAAGAGGTTGGTTAACAACATGGTTAGACATTTGTCTTAGCTACTGTTTCTATGAAGGAACGTCATTATCAAAACAACTTATAAAAGAATGCTTACTTACAGTTTCAGAGGGTTAGTTCAGTATCATCATGGTGGGGAGCATTGCAGCAGGCAGGCAGACCGGCATGGTGCTAGACAAGCCGCTGAGAGCTCACATCTCACCCATAAGTTGCAGATCAAGAGAGTTGCAGGCAGAAAGAGTGAGTAAAACTGGACCTGCTGTGGGCGTTTGAAACCTCAAAGTTTTCAAAATAAGGTCATACCTCCTAATCCTTTTCAAAGAGTTCCACTAATTGGTGACCAAGCAAGCATTCAAACATACCGGCCTGTTGACAGAGGTTTCCGTCCCACCTGGTCCCACAGCCATTCAGTCCCAAAGAAACACACAGAGTCCTACATTAGTTATAAACTGGTTGGCCTATTAGCTCAGGCTGCTAACTCTTACATCCTACATTAGCCCATAATTCTTGTCTGTGTTAGCCATGTGGCTTGGTACCTCTTATCAGCGAGGCATTCTCATCTTGCTTCCTCTGCAGCTGGGTGACAACTGCAGACTGAGCCTTTCCTCTTCCCAGAATTCTCCTGTTCTTGTCGCCCCGCCTCCACTTCCTGCCTGGCTACTGGCCAATCGGCATTTCGTTAAAGCAATACAAGTGACAAGGTACAGACCATTGTCCCAGGCAAGAGCCTACAGCGGTCATTCTCATCCAAACCTCACAGCGTTTGTTATTCTGAGTGTTGGCATTAACCTTCATAACTTCCTGTACCTCTGAGAAGCACCTGCTCTATTGTTTCCTGTCCTTAGTTTTGTTTACAGATTGTTAAAGGAGAGATTCAGTCATGTAGCAGAAGCATGTTGGGTCCATACAACTTTAAATTGGCATATTAAAAAAAAAAGCATCCTTTGCTCCAAAACACACACCCACTCAGAATGTCCTCCTCTCCTTACACACGCTTAGGACTTCCTCCATTCACCCCAGAAACAAGTTGCTTTTAAGCCGCCAACCTATTGTCCCATAGGCTCCTGACCAGCTCATAATGCAAAACGCATCCAGTACAAATGCCAGCGTGTTCTTTAACAGTGGCAGAGACGCTTGTCTGCCTCAACAGTAGGGGAATAAAATGTCAGCCGGCCAATCAGAACATGGGCCCACGAAGTCCAAGTTAAGTGATGTTAGAGTTGCCCAGGATAGCCATTCTTGGACAGCTTGCTTCCCCTCCTTGCAGGTGCAGGGTGGTCCTTTCCGTGTCTTTTCCAGGCTGGCTCTGTGTGGAGCGTCCTGCACGAAACTCTCCTGGAACCTGAACGGCAATTAGGAATTGCGGCTCAGACTTCCTGTTATGAAGTCTATGGAGAGCAGCTTGGGACAAATTTCCTTCCGTGGGCCTTTCCATCTAATTTCTGGTTTATCACCGAACCAATGACAGGGAACGTGGTATCTATTGAACACAAGCTTCCCATCAGCCATCTACTGGGTGACCAGGTCACAAACCACTGTTAACTTATTCACCATGTGTATAGACTGCATCCTTTTCATTTCATACATTTAGATGAGATTAAAAGAGAGATTAAGTTTGTATGACTGATGCTCCAGCCTGTTATTTAGTGTAAATCCAACAGCGGTTCCTGGGGAATTTGGGCCTGGATGAGGGTGCAGCTCTCCAAGGAATGGGAAACACACAGGAGAAAATTCTTTGAAGGATTCAGGGCTTTCAGGGGAACCAGGAAGAACAGATTTAAACCTGAGAATCGGGGTATCCAGGCTTCCTGAGTTCTACGTCGCCCAAAGTATTCTTAGGTCCTGGAAGGTGTAAGCTACTAGGAGGTGTGATAGGCTAAAAACGCCCAAGCCCTCAAGCCCTCAAGCCTGAAATGCTACTTTTAATTATGAAAAGGGTCTCTATAGATACGAGTTAAAATATAAGATTATACTGAGTCACACAGGTGGGCCATCAATGTGATCATTTGTCCTTGCAAAAGACAGGGACAGGGAGATTCAGGTCACATCGAGGAAAGGAGATAGGGACACAGACTTTCAAAAGATTCAAGGCTGTTGGCCTTGAAAACCTGAGCGAGGCAGTCACAAGTCACAGAAGGCAGGCAACCAAGAGAAGCCCTAAGCAAAGGAGCTAACCATTTCCCTGGTCTCCAACAGGGCCGTGGCCCTGCCCACACCTCCATTTGTTCTCCCTGACACAGATTACCGACTTCCTCCTCTACAAAGGTGGGAGTATATTTCTGTCGTTTTAAGTCTCTTGGATTTTATTAATGCTTCAAAACCACAGGCAAAGAAGACTGGGAATGGGGAGATGGCGGGAATCACAGGCAGGGAGATCTAGGACTCCCCATGGAGCCGAGCTGTTTCTCATATTTCTCATATTTCTCAGCATATGGTTGAGGAGGGCTTTTATTTTTTATTTATATACATATACATATATACATATATATGTATATATAGGTTTTTCAAGACAAGGTTTCTCTGTAGCTTTGGAGCCTGTCCTGGAACTAGCTCTTGTAGACCAGGTTGGCCTCGAACTCACAGAGATCTGCCTGCCTTTGGCTCCCGAGTGCTGGGATTAAAGTTGTGCATGCACCACTAGGCGAGAAGGGTTTTGACTGAAAAGTCTGTCATGAGCCTGAGCTGTATGGGCAAACCTGTACTTTTTTTTTTTTTAAGACTGATTTTATTTGAATTACAAGAAAATACACATTTTCTATTCTATCCAAAGATACCCATTTTGGCCCACACATAAAACTGTAAATACGTACAGCATGAAACCATGACCTACACCACTGCTTCCATGAATTCCTTCAGACAACTTTATGAAAGGAGCTCAATGGAACGAGTGAATGGAGAGACACAGCAGAGCGCTGCCCTGGACTGAAGTCAATACCCACACTGAACAAAACTCCTTTAATGGCAGATATTCCCCATGCTTTTTAAAAAAGATTTAGCAGCACAACAGTATTTAAGATACGCAGAATCTGTTTTCAGATACTGAATTCTGGGACCTTACTGGGCATCTAAAGATTTATCGACATCCTCCTGGTCACTCCTATTCATTTTCGTTGCAACTTAAGCTTGCAAGTTTTTCATTACTCAACCAAACTGTATATTCACGTCGCTTAGACCTTAGGATCGAGTTTTTCAACCACCGTAGATCTACAGAGCAGTGGGATAAACATCTCAGGTATGACTCAGGTACTTGTAGAAGACAATTTACTGTCTAGTTATTTTCTTTTAAAAAAAGGTAGGAAATGTGACTCTTTTATTACTATTATTTGCATGTATAAGTTATAATAATAGCCCAAGTACTCTTTACAGCCAATTTTCTATAAATATTAAATTACCAAAAGCAATGGTATTTGCTAAGTTTTCAAAATGATCCTTAGAGTTTTATATCATTTAGTAGAAAAATAAACCAGGCAACCACATTTATTAATTTAGGCAATGTTTCCCAATAAAAATGTAGAAATATTTAAATTTACATATTACAGTGAACCAACACAAGGTCAAAATCCACAATTACACATTCATAAAAAAATCTCCACATCATCTTCAGGACAAGCAGTTTCTATACAGGATTTACAGACATCTAAGCACTCTGAGTCTTCGGTGTGCGACGGAGTTCAGAGGTTCTGCTCGGATGTTCCCCAAGTCAAGCGCAGAGTCCGTCTCCTCGTCAATTTCTCCAATGACCGCTACGCTGTCACCTCTCACAATGTATAATCCTAATACGACTTGTTCGACTCCTTGCAAAGAACTGAACACCCTCTCATGGCTTTCGTCCAAAATCAAATTAATGGTCTGGTCAAAACCTTTTAATGTTCCCACAATCATTCTCCCATCAGACGTGATAACAGCAACAGTTCGGTTGATGTAATTCTCCAAGGCAGACGTCATGATGCTGGGCCCGGACGTCCCGGGAATAAGAGACGAACCGGCAACAAGAAGACGAGACGCCGCCCGCCAGGAACACGTCCCGGTTCGCCAAACCTGTACTTTTTAAAGAGGCTTTTTTTTAATACAAAATATCTGATATCAGACTACTAAATTACACGAGATCTCATGCATGAGTCATAATTTTGTAATGGGCCTTATATTTTAACCCATTAGTAGAGCTATTTAAGTATTTGGGGATAGAAGGCATTTTAAAGCAGAACCTCATATTTCCAAGTACGTATTCTAAAAGATGAAACGAGTCATTTCAGAGAAGGAAAAAAAAACGAGGACAAGTTCAGACAGGTATTTCTTCGGATAGCGTGGGGGATAATGGCGCAAATGGGTCTCTTTGTAGTACTCATCGATTGTGAGGGCTGAGACATAACCAGGAAGCCTTTGTCCTAAGGGAAAGAGTCAACCAAATCCCAAAGCAGCCCTTCCCAGGTGCTGGTGAATCCACACCACCTTGAGTGTGCAAACCAAAGAGACAAGGAGCCAATGTGTGTACTTCTCTTTCAAAATCCAGTCTGCCACTGAGAAAGTGCAAAGAAATCTCTCTCACAGAGATGACGTCACCTGAATCTTACATTAATATGTACCTAGATGTCCTTACGGACATCCTATATTTCTTCTAATAGTGCCTGCTGCTGTCTGTTTTTAAAATTTGACATCTGTTTAATCTAGAGGAAACTTCTGATTTGTTATTAAGATTTTTTGAAATATTTAAGATACATATCTATTTATCTATATATCTATATCTATCTATATATGTACACACACACACACACACACACACACACACACATATATTTATGGGGAGTTGAGACAGGGTATATCTGTGTAGCTTTGGAGCCTGTCCTGAAACTGGCTGTGTAGATCAGGCTGGCCTCGAACTCTCTGAGATTCACCTGTCTCTGCCTCCTGAGCGTTGGGATTAAAGGTGTGCCCCACCACCACCTGGCCAATATTTAAGATATTTTAATTGACACAGAAATCATCCCTGCCTTTGCAAGAAGCACTCTGGGATGCTTCAGTACGTGTCCACAGTGTTCAATGACTTGGCTAAAAGTGAGACGGTCCTTCAGGGTTCCTGCTTCATGAAAGAGTCTTCTAGACTCTTTCTGCAGGATACAGAAGAAAATGACTGAGAAACTGCAAATAGAGGAGAAACAGTCTTTCAAATTTCCTGCTTCATGGAAAAGTTTGCTGGATATCGGCCGGTAGGCTGAAGATGGGTGCCCCAGTGGTACAGAAGAACTTTTAGTGACTGTCCAGGTAGTGAGATGTCTCTGTCAATTCTAGAGTTTTGGAAGTTGCTTACAATGCACTTCCTGTTTACTTAAGTAATATTATATCCTTCTGGAGTCTTTGATGGAATTGAAGAATAGATAGCTACAGTTTTCCTTAGTTATAATAAGAGATAAAGTAGATATAAATATTGTAACTGTAATTCTTGCTTGATACCTGTTTTGTTATATGTAATCTTGTTATGTTAAAGTTAAAACCTTCCTTTTTATTTAAACAGAAAAGGGGAGGTGATGTGGGATTCCTTCTGTAAGTTGTAAATATATACTATTGCCATTGGTTAATGAAGAAGCTTCTTTCAGCCAATGGTTTAACAGAATATAGCCAGGCTGGAAAAGATATATAGAGACAGTAGGCAGAGTCAAAGAGAGGCCATGTAGCCACTGCAGGAGACAGACATGCCAGAACCTTGCTGGTAAACCACAAGTCTTGTGGTAAAATATAAAATAATAGAAATGGGTTAATTTAAGATATAAGAGCTAGCTAGCAAAACACTTAATTGACCAAGCAGTATTTTAATTAATAGAGTTTCTATGTGTTTTTTTTCCAGCCTGGGTGGCTGGGAACAAACAAGCGGCCTCTATCCACAGGGAACGGACACAGTCACAAAAGCAGACCCGCGAGTCCTGGTACCCTCTGGCTCCCTTGTGCTTCCCCTAGTCAGGCTGAGGCAGGAGAGGAAGTAAGGCTGTGGTGGTGACTTTCAGGCACTGTGAAGTCATATGTGGGGTGCTGGGTATTCTGAGGACTGAGGTGAGCCCTGTCCCTTACATGCCATCCCTGGGAAACCTACCTCAACAGCATCAGGCTCCTTTCTAAGTGGCAGCCTCCCCACTGCCATCAACCAGGACTTCTCTGTGGACTCCACACGGCCTCCACCTACTGTTCCTCTGACACCAAGTCTGAGCTGGCAGCAGACACGGGCAGATCCCCATGACATGACACTATCATCTGTGTTGGAAACATTCTTCTCTCTTGAATTAGACAGTTATCTCACGCTCCACAGAACATGAGAAACTCTTCTCACCAGGTTTTCCCTTTGTTCCCATTAACCGCTCTCTCTCTCAGTCCCCAGCATCCTTTCCTTCCGTCCCAGCTCGGGAAAACACCATTCTCCCTGTTCTATGCAGTCAGTACCACATGAAAATACAGTAAAGTGCTTGCCTCTGTGGCTTGTTTTGCTTCAACACGACACCCTCAGTTCCATGCTGGATGCAGCGAAGACTGAATCTCTCTCTCTTCTGTGACAAGTATTGTATTGTGTATGTGTACATATATGTGTCGGGCTGAAATGTCCCCGGAAGCCTCATCTGTGGTGGGCTTGGCTCTGGATGCCACAACTTCTGGGGCTGGAGCTTTGGGGACGTGATTGAAGATAAGATAGGTTGCCAGGGATTTGAGCCTTGTCTAATCCAGTCACGGGATCCTAGCAGTAGGTGGAAACTTGGGGTCGGAAGGGGTCTAGTTAAAGCAAGTGGGTCTCTGGACCACGCCTTGGACTCCATACCTTATTCCGGTCCTCTCTTTCTGCTTGCTGGTCATGGTGACATGGTCAGTGTCTACCACATGCTTCTGCTACCGTGATATTCTACCTCAACTCAGACCTAAAACAATGGAGCCACGGACGAAAGTCTAGGCACGAGATCTCTGAAACCAAGCCGGAATAAACTCTTTCTCTTCTGAGCAGCTCAAGAATTTTTGCCACAACGACGAAAAGCTAATGGGAAGCCATTCGAACTGGAGCCTGGGGGCGAAGATCTATCGACGGAAGCTGTGTGATGAGATAGAAGGTTCGAGAACTAAATTTGTCCCGACTGGAAACTTTAGCTGCCAGGCGGCACCTGTCTCTGGAGTCGTCAGGTGACAGAGCAGCAGACAATAGAGGGCTGGAAGAGAAAAACCTACCTAGAGCATCCCTTTGTGCCAGGCGCATTACGGTAAGATGAAACGCTCACTCTGGAATGGGAGCAGGCATTTCTAGCTGGAGTCTTTAGGTGAGGACAGACTTGAGGCTGAATAAACTACGCTGACTCAGTCCTTTATTGTGTGAACAAGTCTGTCTGGCCTGGTGAGTCATCTACCAGGAACAAGATTCTAAAGCCAGGCTTGGATGTTATCTCTAAAACAGTACAGAGAGAGGAGAAGGAGATCTCTGGGTAGAACATTGGAAGCACTTTTTCCAGTGAAAAGGAAATAATGGGTGTGGCCAGAAAGGATCTCAGAGGAGAATGGGAAATCAACTTATTAGATGCCGCCATTCTAAAGTTGAGGGCGTTTTCCTTGGGTAATCAAAGGTAGAATGGTTTGTGCTGTGCTACAAGCAAATTGCTTAATTTCTCTGTGCCCACTTCCTTCCTCGCAGGTCCCCCCCCCCCCCAACACTTTTAGCTTCCTTTCTTTCTTTTTAAACATCGAACAAGAAGCTGAATGCATCCGGCAGGAATTCTAGCACAGAAGAAACTCAAATGGCTATGCAAGAAATCTGAAGAGAGGCCGCGGTAGTTGAGGAGGTTTTGCTAAAATGCCTTCCACCTGTTAGTTTTCCTGTGGTTTCCTTCCTCTTCCTGCAAACCGAGGCACTGATGGAGGAGGCCAGCTGGTGGCACTTGGTACCAAAGCGCTCCCTTACTCCATTACAGTCTCATGAAAATGAATTTACTTTTCTCTTTTCCCTCCTCCCCCAGTATCTGCTTCCCCGCCCCCGTCCCTGCAACAGCGCCTCCCTGGGTAGCCTGGTGGCCTTAAACTCTTGAGGTTTCTCTCAGCTTCTAGGATTTCAGGTGTGGCATTTCAGGGTCACCCCGACCCACTGAAGTAACTTCTCTTTGAAACGTAACTTAAAGCTGTGGCGTGCGGCACCAAGACGGAAGAAACTCCATTCCCTCTCTTGTATGTAGGACCTCGGGGAGTCTAGAAAATAAACTAGGCTACTGCCGGCAGCGCCGAAAGAGATTTGAGCCGTGTTTGTGATCTCTCCACACCCTAGAAATCAGGCCAGGTTCCAGGTCAAACGTCACACACACCGGCTTTCATGGAGGCTCGATGAGCTTCGGTATCACAAGAACTTGCCAAAGGCGGCCCGCCATTTTCGTTTCTGCCTCCCTTACCCGGCAGAACACAACTGAGGTCCTGGCAGTGCTGGCCTACTCAGAGAGGATGCCAAAACATCTGGTCCTCAGACGTCACCAACAGGAATGCAGGGTGCAGAGGGGCAGCCTCTTAGAGGCTTGTCCAAAGTGGGGAGCGTGACCCAGTTTCCATATGGCTTGGCTTCTGCACAGAGGAAACCAGCGCCTATAACTCAGGGTCACACAGCTCTTTTAATGGACTTCTCCAGAACAGTGGTGACATTTGACAAGAGATCCCAGTGCCGTCTACTCATGCTCTGGAAGACTATAACATGGAAACCCTACTTCCTCGGGATGTGGAGGCAGGAGTATTATTTATACAAACTGCCAGTTCCTTTCCTGGTATGAAACAAACAGAAATTTCTCTCTGCATATTCAGGGCCTGTAAAGTGAAAGCCAAGGAAACCGACATCGCTGTTCCTTTAAATGTTACAGTTCCTTATCTAGAAATCTAATTTTTGTTTTGAAGATGACCAGACCCATAGCTTTAGTCCCACACAAAATTCAACATGGATGGGAGACTTTAGTATAAGGCCAGAAATGCCAAAACTGCTGGAGAAAAATCATTTCAGATGGAGAAGTCATTTCAAGATCATTGCTTGTAAAACTTGTAGAAGTCTCATAGCACAGGACACAGCC